TGCGTGTTTTTTGTAGAAAACATCATGTGGATAAGGTGGAAGTTGAGGTTTAAAACTTGTGGTTGAATTTCTCCAAAGCTGAAAACCTGGATGGATGATTCAATAGATCCTGAAATGAATGTTGAATATTTACAGTCTTAGTTGGAACAGTTTTAGATCTATATAAAATAATTCATGGAAAACTGAGTTTAGAAACTAAATGGAAAGTTGCATTGTAAGAGTCAATGTATAAACAATATATTAAGAGGAAAGCAAATCTAGTCTTCATTTTGTCAACAACTGTTTTTAATGTTTAAGTGGGGAAAATGTTTTTCGGCTGCAAAATTTCTCAGACTTTCTTAAGCCTTCCTGAAGAAGAGCCTTATTACCAGAAGTGGTTTTATACCATACTGAGGATGCGGCGTTGTAGTGAAAGGAAGTGTCTCTTCTTCTGGTTGATAAAAAACACACATTTTATCACAAATATATATTTTGTTATGTCAAAGGTTTTATAACAGCATACATATGTGACTTTGGAAGGCTTAAAAATGCATATGTATGTTTCAAATCAGTGTTGACTGCTGAAGCTTAAAACATTGGTGTTTTATAGCCTGCAGGTATTGTTGTGTGTTTAGGATGCACTGATAAGCTTTTCATGTGTCACTTTCCAGTTCGCCAGCTTCTGCAGGCCCTTCCTTCCAGACCTCTGAGTAATGGCTACGTTCAACAGAAACGCCTCCTTTCCTCGCCGTCATCTCCAAAGAAAGAGGTGCTGCAGTCTATTAAGAGGTAGGATCAGGAAGGATAACTGAAAGAAATAAAAGGAAACCGAGCATTTGGAAAAAGAAAAAACAGAGCTTGCCCCCCCCATCCTTCCTTTTTGTTTTTCTCTGTTTTTTGTTTTTTTTTCTTCATATATTTTCAACCTTCCAACTGTAGATGTATCAGCCTCAGCTTATTGAAGGACATTTATACTTTAGAATAAGCAAAAGGTTTGGGGAATTCTTCCAAATTTCTTTCAATTATGATTTTAAAGAAAATAAAATAGATGTAGATAGCAATAAAGATATAGATGGATAGATGGATATATGTGTATGAAAACACTGAAGAACATTTAGAGGCTAAAATACTTTTTTAATATATAGCTTCAACATAGTTTTTTCTCAAATTATTACTTTAATTTTTTTTAAGTGACTTTCTTTATTCATTTTTTCTGCATTTTTTCTAACGGTTCCTGCTCTGAAAATCACTAATGTAAACTATTGTGCATATCAGCAATTCCAGTTTTTTGATTGGACCATTACCTTGCAGGAGCTTCACACTGTAGAGTGTGACTGGTCGCTTAGTAAAATCTTAATGTTCAGGACATGCATGTCTCATCTTTGATTTTATTTTTTTTTTCACCTTCAGGAAGAGCATGTCCACAGAGAGACTCACCCTGATTAGAAGAGAGATGGCAGCAGAGAGTCGGAGTCGAACCACCTCCTCCAGCAGCTCCTCTGGTGGAAAAAGGTAACTTCTCCTGCTGAGAGCAAGAAAAAAATATATTTTTCAGTCTGCAACAACCAACTGCACGGTATACTGGAACAGCAATAGAAATATTTGAATTGTTTTCTTCTTTAATTCTTTTCTATTTAACAAGTTAAATCAAAGTTTTAATAGTTTAAGGCTGGTAAAGTAGATGATTAGTCAGGCTGATGTAAAGACCTGCTACCATTTCTACTGTTTATCTGCTAGTAGGCATACC